CCATCTCCCATGCCAAATCTCAGTATTACTCCGGTCTCATCTCGTCCAACTCCAGCAACACTAAAACATTATTTTCCATCATGAACAGCATTTTTCAGCCTCCCGACTCCTTACCCATCCATCTTTACTCTTCAGAAACCTGTAACTCTCTCCTTCAGTTTTTTAATGAGAAGGTCAATAGAATCCATCTCTCTTTACCTCATTCCTCCCCTCCCTCTCCTGATTTATTTGAACCCACCATTCCGTTCTCCTCCTTTGAACTTCCCCATCCCTCAGAAATATTAGATTACATCACCAAATCCAAACCTTCCACCTGTCAACTGGACCCTATTCCAACTGTTTTAGTTAAATCCTGCCTTTCTTCTCTGCTCCCTTTTATAACAGCCATTATTCATTCCTCACTATCCTCTGGTACGGTCCCATCCCTATTCAAATCCGCTTCAGTCAGCCCTATTCTAAAAAAACCTGGTTTAGATCCCAATGATTTCAATAACCTCCGTCCCATTTCCCATCTTCCCTTCATTTCCAAAGTCCTTGAGAAAACTGTTGCATCTCAGCTCCATTCACATCTCACCCGCAATAACCTTTATGAACAGTTTCAGTCTGGCTTCCGTCCCCACCACAGCACAGAAACAGCTCTCATCAAGATCACTAACGACCTACTCATTGCTGCTGATTCTGGTTTAATCTCTATTCTTATTCTCCTCGATCTGAGTGCGGCCTTTGACACCATTTCTCATCCCATCCTCCTTAATAGACTCTATTCCTTAGGCATCACTCACACCCCCCTCCGCTGGTTTCAATCTTACCTTACTGGCCGCACTCAGTTCATCCAGTTAAAATCCTTTACCTCAGAACCCTCCCCAGTCAAGTCAGGTGTGCCCCAGGGCTCTGTCCTGGGGCCCCTCCTCTTCATAGTATATCTCCTCCCTATCGGCAAAATCTTCCGCAAATTCAATATCCAGTTTCACTGCTTTGCAGATGACACCCAGCTCTACATTTCCAGTAAGCCCAACTCAACTCTCCCACCATCCTCCCTTACACTCTGCCTCTCTGAAATCAAATCATGGTTCACCTCTAATTTCCTCAAACTCAACGGCAATAAAACTGAACTTCTTCTAGTTGGCACTAACTCCACCCTCTCAACATCTGACAGCTTTTCTTTAACTATTGACAGTGCCACAGTCTCCCCCTCACCTCATGTCAAGAGTCTGGGTGTCATTCTCGACAGCTCCCTTTCTTTTCAGGCTCACATTAATAACTTAATTCGGTCAGCATACTTCCATCTACGTTCCATAAACCGTCTTCGTCCCTCATTGACCCCTCACACTGCCGCCATTCTCGTCCACAGCCTCGTCACCTCCCGTCTCGACTATTGCAATTCACTTCTTTATGGTCTCCCCAACAAACTCCTTCATAAACTGCAACTGGTCCAGAATTCAGCAGCCCGTATTATCACCAGAACCCCTTCCTTTCACCACATCACGCCGGTTCTCCAGCAGCTCCACTGGCTCCCAGTTAAATTCAGGCCCATCTTCAAAATTCTCCTCCATACCTTCAAAGCAATCCACAACCTCTCTCCTCCATATATCTCAGACCTTATAAGTATTCACACCCCGTCCCGTTCACTCAGATCTTCTTCTTCCATCCATCTTGCGGTTCCTTCTGCCCGTCTCGCTACCATGGGGAGCAGAGCTTTCAGCCGCTCTGCTCCTCGACTCTGGAACTCACTTCCCCCAGACATCAGGAACATCGACAGTTTTACCCTTTTCCAATCAAAACTCAAAACACATATGTTTAAATCTGCCTACAACCTCTGATTTTATTGAAATGTTTCTCTCTGTTTTTTCTTCTTTGGGTTTTATTATTGTTTTATTGTATTTTATTACGTGTTTTGTGTAAAGTGACCTTGGGTGTCCTGAAAGGCGCTTTGAAATAAAATGTATTATTATTATTATTATTACTCTTGTGCTGAAGACCTGGGTTTGATTCTGGATGTGAACATAGTTGTTTTAGAGTTTCTTTTTTTTACATTAATGGTATATTTTTTTACAGTAAGATGCCCAGATTTTTATTTGAGACTCGGCGAACGGCATTGAATTCACAGATAAAAAAGATGTGGGTTCAACTTTCATTTTGGAACAATTTTTCAAGCAAGGGAAGGGAATGATCTGAGCATGCAGGAGGACTGACCCATCATAACCTTTGTCGGCTGTGCTGAAGAGAAAGGTACAGAACCACATTATTTAATTAATTAGCTGCACGTTCTCCTGTCCTCCGGCCCCCCCCCCCCCCCCCCCCCCCCACACACACACACACACGGAACTGTCTCAGCTGTTATTTTCGTTAAGGAGTGTGCACGTACAGCATGCGTGCCTCGTGCACGAGCCTCCTATTGAAGCTGCCGTTACGCTTTTGGCCTGAGGGGGCAATCACGAGCATAAAAATTCACAACTCCGTAACGTCCCTTTAACTGAGTTTATGTAGACAGCGCCAAATCAAGAGTCTTCTCAAAGCACTTTACAAAGAAAGAACAAGAAAAGTTTAGCATATTTGCCACTAGGATAAAAATTGTCTTTTTAATTTTTCTTTAGAAAATTTCACCTAAAACAATCCTGTTAATTACATTTATAAAGGAAGAGTCAGACTGAACAATGGTGGCCTCTGCAGATAAAGAACACACTGAGTTTTGACACAATACAAGAACATGTTCTGACTAATTCTATAAATATCCTTTGGATGAGATGATTTATCTTTTGAGACATTTTGTGGCTTTCCACCCAATATGAAGTTGAATCACAACATTTTTGGTGGAGATTTCTCCGGAACAGGAAGAAGATGACAGGTATCACCTGTCTGCGTGGCTTTTGTTTGGACTGTAATCACTTCCCCTGAGGTGTTTTAGCCGTGTTGTTAGTTCCAGCTGTCATGTACCGTGCCAAGAGGATGATAGTGGTGTGGAAAATCCATGTTGGACATGTGAAGGTGCATGTGATGAGCTCTCTGCAGAGAAGGTGTTATGTTACAACAGTTAAGTGTCGTCTTCACTGACTTTTCTTTTGTTGTGACGGCCATCTTGAATTGGGGTAAAGATCATGGGTGTTTCTCAATGCCAAGGAACCTGTAAGGCTTGTCACCAGCATTCAGACATCAATTCTGCTTGCTTCACAGCCAGACAGGACACGGTAAAAAAAATAAAAAATAAATAAAAAAAAATAAAAGCACTTTTTCCGGAACTGCGCTGCTCTGGGTGGCTGCATGTTGGAGTAGCTCTGTTGACTATATGTAAGTTTAGCCTTTTCTTGGACATTTTTTCCTTCTAGTTTCTTAAGAAAAACTATTTTTTGGACACGTTACTTTTCTGTTTCTGGTGCTGTGAAGCTTGGAGGATTTTTACTGCTAATTTTGAGCTTTTTTCACTTTTGAGCATTTGTTCTGATGCGTAACCATGACAACGAGCTGTTTACAATCGGGAGCAGCTGATTAACATTGGAAAGGCTGAAATAATACCTCAACTGAAGCCACAAATCCCAAATGAGCTAAAATGTAAAAAGCGTGGGTGCAGAGCGGGAGCTAAACGGAGACAGAGAAAGAGGAAATTCAAACCGTCTCTTCCATCGATCATAATGGGCGATGTGAGATCACTGGCCAACAAGATGGAGGAACTCCAAGCCCTTTCAAGGACTCAGCCAGAGTGTCGGCAGTTTCGGAACCGCTGGAGGAGATCATGCAAAGAAGGATTCTCCAGAGAATCAAGAAAATGATGGACAACCCTGAGCATTCTCTTCACAAGACTGTCCGACAACAGAAGAGTGTCTTCAGTCAGAGGCTTCTTCAGTTTGGCTGCAACACTGACCGCTACTGGAGATCCTTCCTGCCAACAGCCGTTGTAATATACAACAACTCTTTGATGACTTGATTATTATTATTATTATTCTGAGCTACTACAGCAATCAGTTTCCCTCTGGGATTAATAAAGTATTTTTGAATTGAATTGAAAAATACAGAAACAAATCCATCCCACCAGATCAACATTGATGACCACACTAGATATAATTTTACCATCCCAAGGCTTCCATTATATTATACACTTACATTTCATACTATATCATAACATAAATGCTCTTTTAATCTAACTTTAAATATGTTTTTACCCCTAATATGTGAGATTTCTTTCGGGAGCCATTGCCCAGAATGAAAGCAGCACGTGAAAAGGGAGCGGTGTGAAGCTGCGGCTGTTTGGTAAACAGCCCGTGTTTCTGTCGTCTCTGCTCAACCAGGTCAGCGTAGAACAAGTCATTAAAGGCCAGTACTCGGCCTGTCTGACGTGCCGGTGCGAGAGAAAAGAGTGTCCTCGTTAAGCTTTTTGAGCCCCCGTCGGATCTCGGGCTGCATGTGTCAGCGTGGGACTTTTGTGCGTCCCGTAAGATAAAGCGAGGAAGACAAAGCTGTCCTCTCTGAGACGGCCGAGTCGTCCTGGGAGTTTTAATCTACCTCTTGTGTTCTCCTCAGTGCTCTCTGACAGGCAAACCTACATGACCTCAACCACAGTGCCCCCCCTCCCTACTCTCCCCAGTCCTCTTTTCAGACGTGCCCTTCTTCCTGCTAACGTTCGGGCATTTTCACATGTCAGGTTTCTTCCTTTAAAGCAGCTTTTGGCGGTTTTCCAACGTAGAAACCGACGACTGCTCACCACTTGTTTCTCTGCACGAATGTCGATGGTTGATTTAGAGAACCGGTGATGAAACGGGCCTTTGGGACAAACGGTTTCTAAGCTGAAGTCGGTGGAAATGGGATAAACTAATATGATCCATTTATGCTTGCAGGTTTGGGAATTTGCTGTGAAACTGAGTTACTTTCTGAAGGGTTTTGTTTGTTTTTCCTGCTAAACAAAAACAAACGGGTGCATCAGGCATAACAAGTTAATGCTGAGGATTTAACTTTTTATTTTCACACGTAAAGTTTCTCTCTTCTGTTTGTGTCTGCTTTAATGTTTGCAGGGGGCAGAGGCCATGGTGCTGGAGAGTGTGATGTTTGCCATCTTGGCAGAGAGGGAGCTGGGACCGAAACTCTACGGCATTTTCCCTCAGGGCCGCCTGGAGCAGTACGTCCCCGTAAGTCAGCACCCAGCGTCTGGACGTGTTTTTAAACGTCCTTTTTGCTCCTAATCTTAGTCCTAGCATGCAAAACGTAAAACCCAGTTCCCGTTTGCCTGATTTTGGTCTTTCCACGATCTAAACATCACGAGGTCGAACCAGCGGACGACGCTGAGGGTCAAACGTTGAACGGGTGATGCGTTTATGATGCGCAACAATAAGTCGTTGTTGGTGGTTTCAAAACAAACCAGCAACAGGGCAGGAAAACAGGACAGTTGTGGTCCTGAGAAGCTGCTCAACATCAACCCACTGCAGCAGTTAGATCAGAACATATTAGTTTATGTTTGGAAATGTATTTTATTATGTTACAGTAACTTTTCATAGCTGCTAGTAACCAGACGTGTCGTGTTTCCGGTAGAGCCGTAAGCTGGACACCTGCGAGCTGAGCAACGCCAGCATCTCAGCCGAGGTGGCCGAGAAGATGGCCAAGTTTCATGGAATGAGGATGCCCTTCAACAAGGAGCCCAAGTGGCTGTTTGGAACCATGGAGAAGTGAGTAAAACATCAGCGATGTCCCTAATCCGAGCCCCGCACCGCGTGGCATCGCTGCATCCTCACACTTTTAGATGTAACTGAGTACTCAGGATGTTTGCTCAGTCAGTAACCCTAAACGTTGTCAAGGTAACGTGACTCTGCTGATAACCTGGTGACAAATGAGTGGTCATCTGGGTGCTTCAAAGTACTTTTACAAGGCTGTTGACAAGGTTTCGTGTTGCATAATGTTAGCTTATGGCCGTATGGTCCACTGTCACGTTTCACAGACGGTTTGAGAAGACGCCTCTCGATGCTCTCGTGTTGCTTTGTGGGAAATTCGACCCATCACTTTATACACGACCAGCTTAAACAGAAAAGTAGAAAAACACCGTTCCAGAAGCATCCTGAAAAAGCTGCAGTCACATAAAAACGAAGGACCACGTGTGTGTAAACGTTACCCTGCAGCAAATCAGCCTCTGACGCAGGTTTCCATCAGTCTCATTCCTAAACTACGAGACAACAAGAATGAAAATGATGCAAAAAGATTTAGTATTTTTAGGACCGGAAAGCACGCAAACCCGCATTCATTTTCATTTCATTTATTTATAAAGCCCCTTCTGCGACCAATGCAGACGCCCAAGGTGCTGAACACAACACAATCAAAACATAAAACCATCAGAATAAAATACAACAATCGTAAAACCAACATAAAATCGATTAAAAGAGGAGAGTAAAAGCAAGAAAAAAATCCAGAAAAAGATTAAAACTTGGTTTATGCTTGACGCATTCACTTCCCGCTTGGTGATGCGGCTCGCGGATGCAACACGCTTCACAACTCGCAGCGTTTATGGTTCATGCGGCTCGTCTCTGCAGAGAGCCAATATTCTCACAAACTGTAGGGGGCAGCATGGAGCTCTACAGCATGCATCCAACACTACACCATAGTAGAAGTAGAAATTACTGTTTTCAACACGGCATTCCAGCATTTTTTAACAGAGTCCTCGTCTTTTCCGACAGTGCGAGCTATTTCTCTCCAAGAATTATTAACAACTTGTTGATCACGGTGATCTCTGAGAGCCGAATCATACAAATGTCTGTATTTACCAACCTCTGCCATACTAGTTCTTGCCGGTCCGCCATGTTTTTCCGTGTCCGACCGTCAGCGTCCTAGGTGCGCGGTACGGAAATTTTGGGCCGTGAGGAGGCGCGGTGGAGGGGCGTGGTTGTTAAAATGACGCAATTTTGCAGCGCGGAGCCGTGCGAACCTCGCGGACACGTCAAGCATAAACCAACCTTAAGAGGCCGGGGCATCGAAACCGGGTAAAATTTGCAAATCCTGAAATGCCTTGACAAAAAAAAAAGAGTCTTAAGGCGAGTCTTAAAAAAAAACCCAATGAGGGTGGCTGACGCACCACGCATCCTGTCAGTGTTTGGTTTTAGGAATTATGTGCGTACAACAAACCGTTTCGTTTAGTCCCCATTTGTGATGTCATAAATAGGGAAATTAGCACAGAGGCTCCTCCCACCTGGAGTAGAGCCTCTGCTGCTGGAGGAGCAGCAGCTATATTCTTAGCTCCTCTCAGGTATCGGAGCTTCTCAGCTCATAGCAGCCTGAGTGGGGGATGGGTGGGCGTGGCCAGCAACAGCCTGTTTTCTTAAACATTTCAGAGCCCTGAAATGGCTCATTCTGGAAGGTACTAAAACAGTCAAGGATTAACCTGCATGTGGGAGGGATTCAGTGCACAGAGCTTTACAAACATCTATTGTTTCGACCATAGAGCTAAAATAAACGTTTTTCGATGAAAACCAATTTTGAGTTAAATTAAACAAACAAAATGTTACTTTAAGAGACAAACTGCACATAAAAATGAAATAAACTTTAATCTGGAGCAGTTCAGTGGAATTGTGAACTGTGTGAGTTTGAAGTTTCGGGGTCAGAGGAAGTCTCCATGTGCACCTTCAGAGCAGATTAAAGTGTTTCCAATAATCCAAAAATAGAAAAATTTCTGTTCACCCTCTGACAATAACATTCTAGTTGAGCTCCAGTGGAATGAACCAAGTTATTTGAGGTAAAATAAAAAGTATTGAACACTTTTACATGAACTTTTATGAATATTGTACTTTTAATCCAATCTACAGGTACCTGAACCAAGTAATGCGGCTGAACTTCACCAGGGAGTCTCACCTGCGCCGCTTCAACCGCCTGCTGGCCTACAACCTGCCTCAGGAGATGGAGACGCTCAAGTAGGTGCCATAGTGATGCGTGTCCTCTGTAGGAGACACTTCCAACTATTTATTATCGATGTCTTCGTGCTTCTTGTTTCTGCTCAGGCTGCTGCTGGAGTCCACTCACTCTCCTGTGGTTTTCTGCCACAACGACTGCCAGGAAGGTGGAACATGCCACTTTTTTCTCTCGTTTGTTTGTTTTTATTTTAGTTTCTACAGGAACTTAACTTTTGTTGTCTTTGGCTGCTGTGTTCAGGGAACATCCTGCTGCTGAAGGGTCACCAGAGCTCGGACGATCAGAAGCTGATGCTGATTGATTTTGAGTACAGCAGCTACAACTACAGGTGCTTTAGCAGCTGCAGCTGCTCACACACACACAGGGTTAGGGTTTATCACCTGATTATGTCACATTGCGTCTTTTAAATGTCGTAATTTGTAAGTTTTCCCCCAAACTGAAGTCTTGCATCAGTCATCTCTCATCCTTGTGCTTGTAGCTCTCCTCCCATCTAAACTCTAATCTCCTACAACAAAGGGGGAGGGGGAAGTCTAGCTTGTTTCATCAATATTTGCAGACTCTGGCAGCCATAGTCCATCCTGTTAAAAATTCACTGCAGCTGTTATGTAACGAGGATTTGGCAGACTAGAGAGGACGGAGGCAATGGAAAGACCTGTCAGTGTGACTTATGGAGACGAGGGGGTTGCAGCAAATTTCCACTGCAATTTATCTAAAGAGCTGTGTGTGTGTGCGTGCGTGTGTGTGTGTGTGTGCATGCGTGTGTGTGTGTGTGTGTGTGTGTGTGTGCGTGCGTGCGTGCGTGTGCGTGTGTGTGTGTGCGTGCGTGTGTGTGTCATTTATGGGAAACAGTGTTGCTACCCACCTCCTCCTGCCCCCCCCCCCCCCCCCCCCAAGTCCCTCCAGATAGCGAACACGGGACCTCGGGACGGCGCCCCCTCCTCCGCCTCATACAGTGGGAGTTTTAGGGTTTTTCATGCCTTCAGGTTTAGGCACTGGTCAGAAGAGGAAAGCGGGGGAGGGGGTGGGATTCCAGTCTGGAGCCTCCCCACAGAGCAAAGGGAGGCTTTGTGCTGTAAACAATCCTCCACTCCTGATAAAGAGTGTGGGAAATGGGATCTAAGGGCCACATGTGTGAGTCTGAGTCATGTTGGCTTTAACAGAAATAAAAAATCAGGTGGAACACAGTTATACCCGACTCCTAAATGCCGTTTTTAAGCATGTTTGTCATAAATGTGTGTTTAGTGTGTTGGGTTGGTGTCAGATAATCTGATTTTAAAGGGACATTATGGAAGTGTGACAGCCAAAACATGTGTAGAAATAATAAATGTCTTCTTCATACATTCTCCTGCAATGCCCTGGTCCTGTAGAATGAGCCCTGGCATTTTTACTGTGATTGCCTGTTTTTCTGTAAAATCACAGAAAAAGAGAGATGCTCGGGTCGAGCAGGCTGCTTCATGCGCGTTCACGCTCAGGCATCGCCCGTAGCATTTGCTATCCGTAGCTTTAGCAGCAGAGAGAGAGGCAGTGCCACTTTGTCGCTGTTCCTAACGCCTAGTGACAAAGCTAGCTACATTTCTGAGGACCCTTAGCTACTTTCTGGAGAACTTTCTTCTAGATATTTCTATGTCTGTGAAGGTTCTCAGTCATCCAGGTCATTGTAGTCTAAGGAGCTTTGAAAGAAAAGTGTCTGGACTTCTTTGAGTTGGTTGCACCTCTCATCCAAGAGCTTCTTCAGTTCTAAGGTCAAATGGTGGAGAGTCCCAGATTCAAACCCAGTGGGAGTTTCCTCCCCGAAGAGGGAACAAAAGACCCCCTGATGATCTTCTACATAAACACATGAGCCAAGGTGTGAGGGTGGGTGTGGGTCCTATTCAGCCAGAGATATTTCCTGCAAATTAGCAACAAAATAGCCATTTTTGCTCCGAACCGTTCTTTGGTTTGACGTTTCAGCTGTCATCAAGGATATAAATGTTACAGATACTGTGAATGTTACTAGAGTGTAGCTCACCATAGCCCCCTTCAGACAGGCCATGAAAAACGGAAATGTTCCGGACTCTGTCCGTAAGACCTTTGTGTCTGAATACAAACATCCGGATAACGCGTTCCGGAATTTATCCGGACGAAGCCCCTAGTAACAGGTCCGTTACGGACAGGGTGGCTGCTTCAGACTGGTGAGGTAAAGTTCCAGACAAGGGGGAGGGGGAGGAGGGGGGACCAGGGGACGCTGTGCGCACCTATATAACCCGCTGCTGTAGCATGCGACGAACCACGGCAGCTCGCTTCCTACGGTATCGTCTAGACGCGCGACGGAGCGCTTCACACCGCTTCAGTGATTCCTTTAACCATTGAGCTTCATCATCCAGGTCTCTTATGCGTCTTCGTGTGCGCAGAATTATGCTTAAGCGCCTCGTGATTTTTATCTTGAGAGGCGCTGTATAAATGATATTTTCTTCTTCTTAACATGAGTCCGAGTCTCTCTCCCCCACCACCACCACCCCGCCGCCGTCAGACATCTGGAACTTTTCCCTGCTGTGTGAACGCAGCCGAAAGGACAAGTTCCGGTACAAAAGTGGTGTGTCTGAAAACACAGTTCCGGTTAAAAACCGGATTGAATTGTCCACACATGTTCCAGAATGTCTTGTCTGAAGAGTGCTCTAGTAAGACGTCTGACTCTCATGCGGAAGACCTGGGTTTGATTCTGGATATGAACATAGTTCATTTAGAGTTTATTTTTTACATTAATGGTATATTTTTTTACAGTAAGATGCCCAAATTTTTATTTGAGACTCGCCGAACGGCATTGAATTCACAGATAAAAAGATGTGGGTTCAACTTTCATTTTGGAACAATTTTTCAAGCAAGGGAAGGGAATGATCTGAGCATGCAGGAGGACTGACCCATCATAAACCTTTGTCGGCTGTGCTGAAGAGAAAGGTACAGAACCACATTATTTAATTAATTAGCTGCACGTTCTCCTGTCCTCTGTCCTCCGAGCCACACACACACACACACACACACACACGGGACTGTCTCAGCTGTTATTTTCGTTAAGGAGTGTGCACGTACAGCATGCGCGCCTCGTGCACGAGCCTACTATTGAAGCTGCCGTTACGCTTTTGGCCTGAGGGGGCGATCACGAGCATAAAAATTCAAAAGTCTGTAAAGTCCCTTTAAGCATGAATGAATCTTTTATTTTATTTGGTTCTGCTTTATTTTTGCAGGTGTTCGATAACTTAAATGACTTTTCTTTTACTTCTGTTTGTTCTGCAGAGGGTTCGACATTGGCAACCATTTCTGTGAGTGGATGTACGACTACAGCTGTGACGAGTTTCCCTTCTTTAAAGTTAGCACCCAGAGCTACCCGTCGAAAGCCCAGCAGGTGTGTGTGACAGGCGTCTCCGTGCTGATGTCTTACTATTATTATTATTAATATTAACATTATTTAGAGTTGCAACTGTTGTCTGGTGTCTGTGTACAGCTGCACTTCATTGAAAGCTACCTGCGGGAGTCCGACGGAGGGTTTGACCGTCTGAGCACGCAGGAGCAGAGGAAGCTGAAGGAGGAGCTGTATGTGGAGGTCAACAGGTGAGTTCAGGTGTCGATCAGACTAGGGGAATCCTTTAAATGAGTTTGTTTCAATCGTCTTTGTGTTCTGAACGCAGGTTCTCACTGGCATCGCACTTCTTTTGGGGCTTGTGGTCCATCATCCAGGCCCGGCTGTCCACCATCGAGTTTGGATACCTGGTGAGTCCTTTTAAGGTCCACTGAGCCGCACGAAAACAGGCTCGGATGTTTACCTTCAGTAAAATATTCACAGCCATCACAGGAAGCTGGACTGTAAGAGTTTTTTAATGTGTTTGCAAGTTTACGCCAGAGAGGGAGAGATGCCAACACAGAGATGAGACGAGGTCAGGGTCCGTCAGTGTAGGTTACCATGATAGCTATGATGTCATGATGTCAGGACAGAGCGCAGAGATTTAACCGCTTCTACAGAACAAACGTGTGCAAATAAATTATTAATGGTCCAATAATAATAATAATAATGATGCAACAATTCTTCTTTTTAATACTGAATGGTGTAAATGATAGATGGCATGCCATTATTAGTAATAAATTAAATTAAACTCAGCATTTCCTGAGCACATTTCCAAAAAGCTAATTGGTTTTGGAAGGCTAAATTAGCCTGTATTGTGCTTTTTTCTTTATTTCTCTTTTGCCAAGTCGGTTATTTAACATGGAACAAACGCCAGTCAGAAAAATCCTCGGTTGGATCATTTCAGCTAAAGTTCCCTACAAAAGTCCGATTTTTCACAAAAACAAATATGGTACCAGCTAACATTCTAGGGTACCTCTTAGCCAATAGCGATGGCAGATTTAAATTCAAATGAAGTGCAGAGTTTTTACCTGACAACGGCACAACACTGACAGTTTTAGGCAGAAATTTTTTATTTTAACTAAAATGCACTAAAGTGCAAAACTATTGACGGCACGTGTCTGCAGCACGATTAGACACGCATTTATATAGTTTATCAGAAAAAAAGTTGATTTGGGGGTGACTTGCTCTTTAACTTTTAGAATATGTGGTATGGGCCAGAGTGGACGGGCAGAGACACAAAAAACAAACAGGGTAGGGTAGCTTTATTTGTCATAGAACCAGAGTCTCAGTACCACAAAACGTAGTTTCAGTACAACCGTTCCAAGATCAGGCATACAGCAAATGAAACACATGGACTACGTTTACATGCAGCCAATATCCGGGTTATGATCGGGTTAAGGTCGGTATTCGGGTTTCTGAGTTCATCAGAATAACCCGTTTACAAGCATAAATAGAGAGTTACCCCTAACTTGCATAACCCGATGTAAATGCGGACGTTGGGGTAGCGTCAGGACGTATGGATTACGTCAAGACGCAATATGCGTCATTTGCGGTTCTTCTTGTTCCGGTATCCGTGAAAACAACAACATGTTTCCCAGTTCGGACGAGATAGCGACCGCGTTTGTTTGCGTTTTAGTTTCCTCGTCACTCCAAAAGTGTGGTGCTGTGCCGCGACTCGCCATGTTGCTCCCAACTTGTTGTTTACTTCCGGAGTTCTGGCGCATACAAGACGTCTCGCTACTCAGAAGACCAAGATTCCTTGCGAACAGAGCATGTGCAGAACACACGCTTTGATGGGGATATCCCGATACGCGTTTACACGACCAAACATTCGGGTTAGAAAAGGGTTACCCCAGGTGTAGTAACCGGGTTTTTAAAACCCCGGTTATGAGCATATCCAGGTTTCTGGCGGTGTTTACACAGACCTGCGGAACCGGGTTATTGTGAATATTCGGGTTTTAAAAGGGTTACTGGCTGCATGTAAACGCACTGATTGACAGAAAATCGGTTTTACCGTGGCGATGCAGCCATTAAAGTGCTCTCATTATGCGAATAAATTAAAATGGGTGACACGAGGATGGGTAGGAATGAGGGGGGAAAACACGCGCTCTTGTTCTGCTCTCTACATGGAACAGAGTGGGTCTGACAGACATGAAAGCACAAATTCAGACAATCACAACATAATCCAACGTGCGGTGGGTGGGAGGGGTGGGGGTTCCCATGCATCCGAGGGAAACCAGCAGCTACTCATCAGCACAGCCTTCAACCTCCGTTGCCAGGAGTTGGGAGAAGAGTTTCAGAGATGCGTGTTTAAAAACTAAGTGCGTGCGTGTCTGTCATGTGAGCGCGTGCATGCATGTGTGCACTAGTGTGAGTGAGTCCAGGAACTTTCCCTCAGTTCAGTTGCGATGTCCGCCGTCTCAGATGTAACACGACCGTTCGCGAGCTGCACTGTAACCCCGAATAAGTTCACTGAACTCAAAATTTATGAGAAAAATGATTACCTAATAATTTTTAAGTTAACTTATCTAAAAACTATAAGTTTACCATAACTTGAAAAATATGACCTGAATAAAATCAAAGCATTAAACTACCTCCAACCTATAACTTGGTACTTATGCAACTTACAAAGTTTAATTTCACTAAACTTGCATATTTTAATTCATTAGAACTTTATTACATGTTTTTACTAACTTAAATAATATAACTTGACCTATTAAACCCTAACCCAAATAAGTTGAATTTACTTAGAAATGACAACGTGGCAGGCTGGTGAAGGCAGTAACTAACACCAGATCATGACTCACACACCCATAAATGACAACAGCCAATGAAAGTGGGATGCTCAAAGTCAAGTCAAGAGTATCTGGTGTGATCAACCACAGTATCATTAACAATGGGACGGCACAGCCGTACAGCACTACTTTGACCAACCTCCTCACTTACGGGGCTAACATGATACAAAAAGTAGCACCACATCTGCAACACTGAACGAAATAATAACTGAGAACAACAATCGTCCACAATAAACATACATAAACACCCCAAAATAGAGCAAAATAACTGAAAACATGACTACCCACAATGCACCTCCCCCACCAGCTGTTTATTGTTCCTGAAATCCAACAAAATTGCTAGTTTGTGGTTGTTTTTCTTGTAAATCCACAAATATTTAAAATAATATACAAGTCTGTTTATCAGACACACTTTAGGGTTGACGTGAAGATGAATGGAATAATATTAAAACATAAAATAATTAATCAGTCATTTTTTTGGTTAACCTTACTCATTAAAGTTAAGTTGTCCTTTATTGATTAATTTAAGTTTTGGTTACTTAAAAAAGAAATAGTTCAGGTCAGTTAAAACGTTTGAGTTCGATGTACTTAAAACAAGGAAAAGGTTGAACAAGCTCAACACATTTGAGGTCTAAAAACATTTTTTTAAATTATGAGTTTCTACTCAATATATTTGATTATTTTGAACTGTTGGGTTTACAGTGTGAACCAAGGAGTTCACAGTCCCATGTGAGGAGAGGAAGAGGGGTAGAGCATCTGTCTACATAAACGTCAGATGTCCATAAATAAGAGAATGTTGATGAGAATTGTTGTTTTCCTCATGTGCATCGATGTGTTCTGTGTTGCAGGAGTACGCCCAGGCCAGGTTTGACGCCTACTTCCAGCAGAAGAAGATCTGGGCTGCCTAAGAGAAGCAAGACAGCTCGAGTGGTTTGTCGACACATTGAGCCAAAACGTCCAACGAAGCGCGACGGGAAGGCCGATAAAGATTCGACGATCAACGCTTTTCTTACACTCCCCGCTTCGAGGGGATTCTCTGCCTTTCGTTGGCGTCGTCTTGACCAGCAAGCCAAAACTGAGCGGCTTGGTGCTTAAAGTACGCTCCACAATCCTTCACAGCTCAAGGTTTACGCCGTAGCCACGAGAAGTCCGACACATCAACCTTCACTAACCTTCATCACTGGTCACAAGTGCTTTCTGCCTCTGCTTCGTTCAGACCGTACCGCCAACAGAACCGGCTGGAGCGGGTTCTGTTAGAGGCAGATGTGTTAACATTGCATCAATGTGTATGTAGAGACCACTTCCTGATGGGAATGTTCTGCTGGGAAAACCTAAATGCAAGCTACTCTGGGTAGTTTTGCTGATTAAGGCAGCCGGTTTCTAACTCTGTATAATATATAAATATATATATTTGAACGCGCCAGTAGCGCGGCCCTGTGTGTCACCGGTGGGCTCGATCTGCAGGTCTGGGTTCCTGTACACACTCGCTGTTTTTAATGGGGTATTTTTTGTTTTTATGGATGCGTCTGGCGCCGTCAGAGTCGCGGCACATACAGTTTGTTTTATATTTTTAGGGATGCGAACGATTTCTTGTGAGGCCTCACCAAATCGGATTGAAAAAGATCATTTTCAGGTGTTCCCGTGACACCTGAGTGTCTCTGTGACGTCCGACGCTCCCTCGCTTTTACGTGAAGGGCGTCGCTCCCGGTTACTGTGATGTCATCAGTTCACACACCAGATCTGAGCTCACCCAGAAAACGGATCCGTTTTTTTGCACTAATTTGGCACCATTTGTTTACGACAGTTTGCAACTATTATTTTTAGTAAAAAAAGATGGTTTCCTGGCTCAAATCACGACCACCCTCTTCCTGAAAAGTCTGATTTTTGGACAGGAAATTGACAAAAATGTGTTGTCTGACACAGAAGAAGCTCACATTTAAAAGCCTTTAAAACAAGAAGCTGATGAAACGAGTCTCACCAACGTCTGCAGACTTCCTGTCCCGTCCGCAGATTCGGACGTTGGTGCTTCAGATGCTTTTCATCACTACTTTCCTGTGTTGTTTGGTACCAGCAGGCGTGCGTGGTGATGTTTACACGCTCTTAGCGTCTCCCACACCAACAGGAAGTTGAACCAACACTAAACTGCTAATCTGATATTTTCAGTCAAACCAAGATTTTGCAGCAGCAGGTGATTCATTTTCCGTAATAACATAACGCCTTCATTGCTTATCAACAGTTTTTGTCTCATTTAAATATTTTTGTTTACTTATTTTAGAACAAAAACTCTGAAAAAGTGCTTTTAAATGCAGTTTGGCTGCATACTTTACAAAACTACCGCTAGCTTTAGCTAATCAAGATGTATTCCGACTGTTTTTGGACAATTTTTACTTTATTTTTGAACATAACTGTATGCCAATTATAATGTAGGAGCTAACAAGCTACGAGCTAACAAGAGTAGAGTAGATGACTTGTTGCTGCCTCTAATCAAAAATATTTATATTTTTTCCACTTTTGAAACGTATAAATAGCTGCTGCTGCTGTTTTTGCGAGGCAGATCTGTTTGGCATTAGGTTGGACAAATTTTAGTTAGAATATTTGAAGTCAAACAAAGAAAAAAAAACAGAAACTTGTGAAAAATCTGCTGCACAGTTAAAACTCTGAAAAGCGATCGCACGCTGCTACAAACGTTCCCGTCCCCTCCGGATGTCTTTCCTGTTGTGCTGTGAATGTTGGGGATGGGTGACACGGGAGAAGGCAGCGCGGGGAGCAGGAGGATGCTGAACTGGTCGCCTGATACTGGAACCAGACCTTCGTAGCACTTTGGAGGCTCCATAAATAAATAGTAGAGTTAACAGGGCTGACCTGTGTTAAGCTGTTGGAATATTACTCCTACTGTACATTCGTGTGTGTTTATATTTACTTTATGAACGTGTAGATGTGTTTGTATTTTGCTACGCTGGTGGACACCCACCATTAGACTGTGCAGCGGGTTTTACTGGACGGAAAAGTGAACTGTTACTGGTACTTCTTCACTGTGACTCTTTCTTCAGCCAATCAGATTTGGACTTCATTACTCAGAAGTTGTCTTTAATATTTTTTATAGGTCGCTCGCCCCGACTTTGCTCATTTGTAAAAGAGCGCGATGACCTTTTTGTTTTGTTTTGTAAATATGCGACATTCCATTTTCACATGCGAGATGAGGCTTTGAACCAAACCTTGGATCTGATTTGTTCCTGCGGTAAAACAGTTGTTGCACGTGTCTGTTTATTGTAATATTCACTAACAAATATGAATTTAAAAGAGGATTTAACTTTTTTGCTACTAAAGTACGTTAAAACGTCTGATCTGTGAAGACGGTGACATATTTGCTATCTATGCAGCTGCTCTGGATGCTGAATGTGCACCGAGGGACGACTTGTTAAAGACTTGGGTTCAGCTGCAGTCGCACGAATGTGGAATTGGCTGTAAATGTACTGATCACTCAAATAAAGTTGAAAAGATGAAGCAACTGGCCGATTGTTTTGACCGCATTTTATTTTTTACACACTAATTTACCTTTAAATAGGATTTTTGTTGTCCACAAAAGGCTTGGGGGTAAAAAAAAAAAAAAAAAGCATAACCATTGGTGCCACCCATGCACAAAGTTGTGCCTCACCTGGGCCACCCCATTTTACAAGATCTGGACACGCCACTGCCACACTGTCCTCTGATTTCCGTTTCCTGATAAAGACGGACAGAAAAAGTAAAAAAATGTGTGAAGAGATATTGATGTTCAGCATATTTTGACAGTAAACTAATGAATTCAGCTGGAAAAACCCCAAAATAACTCTTGATCAATGTATTTTTTAGATACATACTGACATATCGCTCGTTGTTGGCATTCGTTTCTCTCCACGTGTTTTCTGAGACGAAAAACAGCTTTTTGCTCATTTTACACCGTTTCGATGTTTAAATACTGTTTTAGAAGCGTGCAGAAGAGTCGTT